AAGGCATAGTAGGCAGCACTCACCTCCCCAAGGGTGCTGGGCTCAAGGCTCGGCCTGCTTGTGGGGAGCTGGAGCCTCAGGCAGACCTTCCCCCTTACCTAATGGGGGCTTTCACAGGTGGCCTCCAGGCCCAGTGGAGCTGGTTGAGGGGATGGCCCCCCCCCCCAAACTTCTGTATGCAAGGCTGTCATGGGCTGCTCCTGGTGGCAGGTGACTTATCCTTGCTTTAAGGTGACAAATGGCTTGCTCAGTGAGCCAGGATTCGGACCTGGGCTCTCTAGCTACAAGTCTGACATGCCCTCCACCCCCTGCCACACTGAATGGACCTACACAGGGGCCTCCCAGCAGCGGTGCATAGCTCGGTGCCCCGTGCCCACCATGGGAGCCTGCCCACTCTAGGTGTTTCTCCATTTGCACATCAGGGGCTGGGTCTCAGAGGTCTGGAGCTTTGGCCTGCCCCCAACACACACGCACGCATGCACACACACTCTCTCTCTCTCTCTCTCCTCTCTCTCTCACTCACTCAGCTTGACAGATGACTAGAACGCAGGGGCGGCAGCTTGCAAGCTTCCCATGAGTCAGCACAGCTGCCCAGGCATGTGGGTGCTCAGGTGGAGGCACTGGTGTCGCTGTGCCAGGCGGGCCAGGCAGGGCGGAGAAGGGCCGCCCTCCGAGGAGGCAGCCAAGAGGCCGACTAGACCAGTGTCCCCCAACCCTCCAGGTCCTCTAGCAGCCCCTGTGTGGGGGCTGGGTGCGCCATCAGATGGGTGCGCCCTCAGATGGGTGGCCCCATGCAGGCCCCAAGAGGGGACCCTGCCTTCAGGAGCCCCCATCTGAGGGGGAGGGCACGGCCCCGGCCCGGTGGAAACCCCACGTTACTGGCAGAAAAAAAGCAACCGCTAAAGAGCCATAGTGACATCCGACTAATGTCAGGGTGGGGGAGTGGCCAGGGGGATCCCATCAGAGCATCCGGGTCTTTTGCATCTGCAAGAGGCCCTGCCCAGTGTAGCTCCGTTCGCTGGGGGGAGGGTGGGCACCCTTCTCAGCGCTCCCGACCCTTCGGCTGCCCGCGAAGGGTCTGACTTGAGCCGCGGGTGCGCGGGCCCTGCGGAGCCCAGACGGCGCGCTCTGCTCCCGCAGGCGGTGCTGGCGGCAAAAAGGCGCCGCGCATGCAAATTCCTGTGCCTGCGGTCCCGCCCCTGCCGGAGGCCACTCCCCGACGCCCGCAGCCCGAGCCCCGACTGGCCCCGCACCCCGCCCGCCCGCTCGCTGTCGGCGCCAGGCCTGGCTGCGAGCAGGACACGGACACGGCCCGAGGGCAGGGCCGCAGGGGGAAGGCCGGACACAGCCCGGCCCGTGGGCAGCGTTCAAACAGCCTCGCGTTCCCGAGCGCTCGCCCTGCCGACCGGTTCGGGTTTCTCTTAGTAGGTCCCACTGCAACCCAGTTTGCAGACGGAGAACAGAGGGGCAGAGTCACTTTTGCCGAGTCACACAGCGAGCGAGCCTAGGAACGAGGCTCCCTGCTCACCAGCGCCTTCCGGGCGTTCTCCGTAGCCCGTGCCCTGAGATCAGTAAACTGCAGTTCCCTCCGTGCTCCTGTAGACGTGAACATCCACCACCCCATGGGAGCAGGCAGAGGCTGTGCATCCAGACCCTGCTGTCGCGAGTCCGCCACCTCCACTGGTGTTTGGCAGAGATCAAAGCCAGGCAGAGGAGTGAGAAAGCTTTATATTTTTGTTTTATATAAATATATATGTTTTAAGAGAGAGAGAGAGCGAACTTTTTTATAGAAAAAAGAGGAGGCGGGGGTTGCCCTGATGGGAGGCTGGATGGTGAATGGGAAGCTGGGTCTCCTGTGTGATTGCTTAGGGGAGCACATTCGACTTTCTCTGGTTGGTCCCGACTTGGAAACAGGGACAAAAATCACGGAAGCTGTCAATTATTAATCACATCCCTGTTGTTTTGAGCCAATCGCTACAGAGGTTTTCGTCTGGCTTCCCGGAGTGGTTGCTGCAGATTGTAATCAGCATTCTGTCTTGATACATGGTCTGGCCATTATTCCTTTGTATTTTCACTCTCTCATCCTGAAAAGTAGTTGGAACATTTCTAGGTAGGCCCTGAATGAGGTCGGGCAGACTGGTGGGCATCACAGAAGGAAGAAAGCAGCTCTTGCCTCAGCCTCTGGGTCCCCAGCTGAGCTCACTCTCCTAGTTGGACACCCAGCCCAGCAGAACCCTGCCCCCCCCCCCCCCCCCCAGACAATGCGCAGCGGGGCATGACTGACTTGTGTAGCTCAGCACCAGGATGCAGAGCATGGTGCCAGGGGGATGGGATCCTGTGTGGACAGGCAGGCAGGTGGAGCTGGTCACCTCCTGCTGGGGTTCCACCCCACAGACTAAGGGAGGGTCCTGTCAATTGGGGTCTTTCAGGGAGTGAAAGCCCCAGGAACTGGGATGTGCACGGGGCAGGGAGGGCTGGGTAGTGCCAAAGGGAGCAGTATCAGGTCTGCAAGCACCCTATGCATCTGGGGGGATCTGGGCCTAGGGTGCTCCAGACGACACTGCTAGTCTCTGAAAGGTTGGGGTATTTTTCACAGTGGGTCCCCCAGGGCTCTTGGCTGGAGAGGGCACTTTTGATGCTAGAGGCCTGGCATGGGAGAGTTTACTCCCTGTCCACTCAGTATGTGCCAAGGGGACAGGGACTCCAGCCAATGGGGGCGGGGTGGGGAAGGGGGGGCCAGTTCTGGGCTCTTCTTTAGGCAGCAACACCCAGGGTGGGTGGCAGTGTGTGCAGAGGCCTGTTTGCCTTGCTTTCATGGTGGCGGGAGCAGCCCCCTCCCCAGCTACTGAGAGGGGGCTTGGGGACCTGAGGCTGCCCAGGAAGAAGCAGGATCGCAGCTGGTAGCTGGGCAGCTCGGTGGTCAGCAGTAATGAGAAGCCAGGAGAATGTGAGGAGGGGCCCAAGGCAGGGCCTGGAATGGGTGGGCAGAGGCGGCCGGAAGGTCTTACGCATCTGGGTGAGTGGACTGCGGGTGGGTGGCCAAGTGGGCCAGGCCTGGGAGGGTGGTTAAAACTGGGGGAGTCAGAGTGAAGGCTCCGGGCTCTCCACCCAGCACAGGACCCAGGCTGCGGGTCTTTGGGCAGGGAGCTGGGGATCCAGCCAGGTCCTGCAGGTGGGAGGGGTTGTCCACACCCACAGCTTCTCAGGACACTCCCAGCCGCCTGGTGCCAGAGGTGCAGATGAGGAACCCGAGGCTCAGATGAGATAAGTGAGCTGGCCAGGGTCTGCCGGTGAGGGCCCGAGCTGGGTGCACATGTGGGGCACATTCCTCTTCCGCCCACCAGACTGCCTCCCGGAAGGCCCTGCTGGCCCCCAGGACAGTTGTGCAGGCAGGGGGATGAGGGGCCGGCAGGGGCTGGACTTCCTGATACGCCAGGTTTGTGCTCCGTGCTGCCGGGCGGGCCGGGAGTGGGCCCCAGAACCGCAGGGGAGGACGCTCCAAGGTGGAGGGGCCGACACAGTCTTTGGGAGTGAGGACAGTAGGCACTGGGGACCAGAGCCATACTGGGAATCAGGCGCCTGGGTCCTCGCCCCCACCCAGCCACTCCTGTGTGACCTCAGGTGGCCCCTCCAGCCTGGGGTCTTGTAGCTTACCAGGTTGGACAGCCCTTGAAGTGAAGCTGCACTGGACCTCCAGCATCTAGTAGACTCCAGAGCCACTCGCTGGGGTCCAGTCACAGCTGTGCCAATTCAGCTGTCGGGCTGTGGGCACGTGACCCAGCTTCTCTGGTACGGTCTCCATTTCCCCACCTGTCAAGTGGGGACACGGAATATCTGCCCCAGGAGTGGTGGGAGGCCGAGGGTCGGCGGTGGAGAGTGCTGGGGCTGGGTCTGACACTCAGTGGAACTGAGTCCCTGCCAAGCCCTGCCCCTTGGGGCCTCCTCCCCACAGCTCCGTGCTGCAGTTCTCAGCCTCTGAATATAAGATCACAGCCATACATGGTTGCAGGACAGCCTGGGATGCCCCTGACCTTTGGGGCCAGTCCCCAGGGTCTGTGCTTGGTGATGGGGCCTCAGCCAGCTGGACACCAGGGAGGGGATCTGGGGGTGTAGAGATGACAACAGGGGTGCAGTCCACCTGTCCTTCTGTTCCGCTTTTGGGGAAAGGTGTGTGCTGGGGGGTGTTCTGGGCCGGGCCTGTCCCCCTCGACCTGTTGCAGCTGAATCTGGGTAAAACCCTGAGTGCCAAGAGCCTCAGGTATCTGTGTGAGTCTTCAACTCACAGACAGCCTGGCAGGGCAGCCTCCCCACTTGGGTGGGCATGGGGCATTTCATCACATGGTGACTGCCCCCACCACACCCCAGCCATACTCCTGATGCTACAGGCAGCCGGGAAGAGCCCAGGGCTTGAAATCACCCCCCACCATATTGTCCCCATCTGACTCTGTCCTCTGGGCAAGAAAAGCACCCTGGCGGTGAGGTAAGGGAGCCTCAGAGGCACCGTTTCTGTTGCATCATCGCCCCTGGGTCAGTGGTGTTCCAGCAAGTATAGCCGCCCACTACCTGTCCTGGAGCTTTCTAGGCTCATCCAGGCCGTCTATCTGCAGGGACAGCACAGGGCCCGGCCTCGGAGTTGGGGATGCAGGTTTCTGACACAGCTCCTCCTGTCCCAGCTCTGAGCCTCAGGGTCCTCATGTGTACAGTGGTGACTTCGCTGCCTGCCTCCTCGTTTGCTGTGGCAATTCAGTAAGGGATGGGCACAGGGAAGTCTGAGGACATTGGCACTCCTTGTTAGGGCCAGGGACAAAACGGCATTCCTAACCTGTCAGCATGGTGCATCGCCTGGCAGGTCTGGGCCTGAGCAGGAGACACGGTGGAGAAACCGAGGCAGAGGGCAGTGCCTCCCTTGCCACTGGTGGCCAATCCAGGCCCTGGCCTCTCAGCCTGTGGGTGGCATCTGACCCCGCGGCGGGCTGACAGCTCTGTCTCCTCTGGCCCCACAGTTCGGCAAGATGTCGGTGAAGGAGGGTGCGCAGCACAAGTGGACAGTGCTGAAAGAGAAGCTGGGGCCACCGGAGCTGGACTCCACTGAGGCCAACCTGGAAAATGCCGACCCCGAGCTGTGCATCCGGCTGCTCCAGATGCCCTCCGTAGTCAACTACTCAGGGCTGCGCAAGCGCCTGGAGAGCAGCGATGGCAGCTGGATGGTGCAGTTCCTGGAGCAGAGCGGCCTGGACCTGCTGCTCGAGGCCCTGGCACGGCTGTTGGGCCGCAGTGTGGCCCGCATCGCTGACACCCTGCTGCAGCTCACCTGCATCAGCTGCGTGCGTGCTGTCATGAACTCGCAGCAGGGCATCGAGTACATCCTCAGCAACCAGGGCTACGTGCGCCAGCTCTCCCAGGGTGAGCCTCGGGAGGGATGGCAGGCGGGCAGGTCAAGCTGGCTGGGACACCTCAGGTGCCCTATGACGGGCAGACGTTAGTGACTCATTGTAAATAAGGCTCCAGGCCATGAAAGTCAGTGGGAGACCTGGGGTTCAGAGAGAGAGAAGAGGGCTCAGCTGGACAGGAAAGGAGGGCTTCCTGGAGGAGAGACTGGGAAAACCACCATTCACCCTAAGTCTGAAACCGTCGGGTCACCTTGGTTCCTCCAGCAGCTGCACCTAGCGGTCCCCCTCTATTCTGTGACTCTGCTGTGCCTTTCCACCTGGCCCTGTGCCAGCTCCCACCCCCGGGGTTCCAGGCCCTCAACCATGCTGTGGCAACTAGAGTCAGCTGGGTGGAAAACACAAGTCCCTTTGAGGGCCTCCCACTTACACACTGCCTGGCTCCAAGACCTTTAGGTCTGGCCCGCACCTACGCATGGCATTATCCTCCGCCTCCCAGCACCTTCCCAATGTCCCCCTTCCCTGGCCTGTCCCCCTACTTGAGCACCTGGAGGACTTCCTCCCCAGCAGGCTTCCAGCCTCTGCCTCCTGCCCAGGCTGCCTTTGCATGCCTCCAAAGCCTTGCTCATCCTTTAAGTTCCGGCTCACTGTCGCCTCTTCCAGGAAGTCTCCCAGGCTGTGCCCGGAGCCAGTCCCGACTTCTTACCACCAGGCTGTGCTGCTCCATGGCAGCAACCCAATCAGTCCCACTTGTGCTTAGGGCTCCAGGACCAGCTGGGGGTGGACAGTGATGGGCAAGGTCAGGCCTGTGTGGGCAGGCAAGAGTCCATGTGGATGAGGGAGCCAGAGACTGACTCGGAGGATGGAGGCAGTGCAGGGACCATTCCAATCCCAGCCTGTTTCCCCAGCCCAGCCTGGCTGTACCCCTCTGTAGAGTCCTTTGTAAATTGTTCTCAGCAGGACCAGTCCAGAGATGAGAGATACACCTAAAACTCTTCCAGCCCCGGGGATGGAGCAGGAGGCAGGGGTTAATGAGGGCAGGGAGGTGCCGCAGGCTGTGTCTGTCATAAATGCAGTTAGTGCTGAGTTTGGAGAAATCATGGGCCTGGAGCCAGTGACAGGACTGGGCAGGCCAGCAAGGACCCCTTAGAACTAAGGGCCAGCTTCAGCAGACCCCAAGGCAGCTGGGGCTGCCCCTGCTTCTGAGCCCTTCCCTGTAGGGTCTGGCTCTGGGGTCTGGGAGGTGGGGTCAGGGCACCAGGGAGAGGGCGGCAGGGCAGGGCCTAGCCCTTCACCCAGTACCTGCTGTGGGCCGTGGGCAAGTGCACGGCGCCCTCTGGCGTCTGCCTGCCAGGCCGGCATTGCCACCCTGAGCCCAGCCGCACAGGCGCAGGAGACGGGGGGACGCAGGGCCCCCTGAGATTCACTACACCCCTCGGCAGCTCTGGACACGTCCAGTGTGATGGTCAAGAAGCAGGTGTTTGAGCTGCTGGCCGCCCTGTGCATCTACTCGCCTGAGGGTCACACCTTGACCCTGGATGCCCTGGACCATTACAAGGTAAGCAGCGGGGCCTGGGCCTGGGTGGGCTGTGGGCTCCCACCTGGGCGCGCACTGACCCTGCCCACCCTGCAGATGGTGTGCAGACAACAGTACCGCTTCAGGGTCATCATGAACGAGCTGTCTAACAATGACAATGTGCCCTACATGGTCACGCTGCTCAGCATGATCAATGCCATCATCCTGGGCACCACGGACCTCCGCAAACGTGCCCAGCTGCGTAGCGAGTTCATCGGTAACCACCCACTAGCCCAGGCCCCCTGCATCTACCTGGGAGGTGGAATCACGACAAAACCTGCCCCTACCACACACCACCCCTCCCCTCCAAGGCCCCAGAGGAAGGATTGTCTTGGGGACTTGAGCCCCCTGCCCGCACCTGCCCCTTTGGTGGATGCAGGCCTCGGAGCACCTAGACCGTATCCCTGGAGGGTTCTCAGTTACAAGGCTGGCTGGGCACTGGAGGGAGGCAGGCGGCCTGATGCCCAATCCAGCTCTGCCCTTCTGGCAGTGACCCTTGAACAAGCACCACTGTGTGTCCAGAGATGTCTCCCTTCCGGAGCCCCTGTCCCTAGTGTCCCATAGGAACAGCAGGGTCCCCTCTGGCCCAGGAGCCAGGTGCTCTGGTGGTGGAACTGAGACAAGGGATCGGGGAGGCAGAGGAATTAGATGCAACACGCAGGTGACCCCAGGGCGGGTGTGGGGGGTGGGCAGCCAGAGGCAGCCTCTGAACCCTTCTGATCCCATCTGTCCCTTCCCAGGGCTGCAGCTTCTGGATGTTCTGACCCGGCTGCGGTGAGTCCCCATTGTGACTAGTCCTGCTGGCTACCCCTTTGCTGCTGCCCAAAGCCAGGCCCTTGCCCAGGCAGTGCCTCCAGATAGGCAGGGAGGTGGCTTCCAGGAGTACCACATTGGGCTCACCCCAAGGCCAAGCCTCAGATTCACTGTCCGTGGAAGCTGCCCATAGAAACTAGGGTCTTCCTTAGGTACGATACACAGCTCCTAGTTCATTCGGGTTTCAGGTATACAACAGATAATGTTTTAGTTTAAGTATATCCCAAATATTGTATGGAATGTACTGATGCTAAGAATTATTCACCATTTATCTAAAATTCCAATTTAATTGGTACCCTGTCGTTTTGTTTGCTAAATCTGGCCACCCTGCTGGGAACAGCTGAGAAGCCCTATCCCAGGCCTCTGTTAGGACCACACTTGGTGGGGTCTCCAGCCCCAGGGAAGTCAGCTTGGAGGAGCCCAGGGCTGGATGACTGGTGTTAAACTCACATTGGGCAAAGGGGTACGTGTGCCCAGCCCATGCCAGGCGTTGAGGGGGCCGGCCCTGCCTGCTGAGGGCTCTTGTTCATTGGCCAGGCTGAGGTGAGTGGCAAGTCCTGAGCCCAATGTACACTCAAGCATCTCCTCTGGTCCCCTCAGGGGTGGTCTTGACCCCTCCCTCCCAGCACCAAGAGGAGGGCCTTCACTACCCCTGGGTACAGTCTAGCTCCCCATCTCTGGGCCTCGATGTGTGCATCTCCCCCTGCAAGTGGGAGGACCCACCCTTGCCCTTTCCAAGGGGCTCGCAGCTGCCTAGGTGACCTGTGAGCCCACCACTCTCCCAGGCTACATCCCAGGCTGCAATGGCCACATGTCAGACCACAGAGCCAGCCACAGGCCTGGACAGAGCCCTGCTCAGTGTCCTCTGGTTGGCTGAACTAGCAGTGCTCGGGGCTGCCCTGGGTGGAGTGGGGGACTGGTGGGGGTAGCAGGCTGAGCCTGCCCGGCCCCTCCCACCCTAGAGACTTTGAGGATGCCGACCTGCTGATCCAGCTGGACACCTTCGATGAGGCCAGGGCTGAGGACGAGGAGGAGCTGCTGTCAGTCTGTGACGGGGTCAACATGAACAACCACCAGGAGGTCTTTGACTCCTTGTTCCACAAGGTGGGCCTGTGCCTGGGCCAGGCCAGGGGTGGGAGCAGCCCTGCCAGTGTGGGCTGTGGCCCCAAGGCCCAGGGCTTGGGAGAGGCCCCTTCTCTGCCCTGGTCAGACCCTGCCCTGAGCCCAGTCTGGGGTCTCACTCCAGGGAGCAGGGTCTGGGAGGTGAAATGGGGCCTGGGGGGCTAGTCTGGGCCATCCTGGGACAGACCTGGAGCTGCAGGGCCCAGAAGGACAAGGTTCTAAAGGCCAGGGCTGCCCAGAGCCGAGCACCATCAGGTGGACTTTGGAGACCTTGGGGCCCAGGTGATGGTCCAGGAGCCTGAGATCGCATGAAGCTCAGGCCTTCCCTCATTCACAGAATTTGTGGCTCTCAGCTGGTGGTGATTATGTCCCCAGGCAGCATCTGACAATGTCTGGGAACAGTTTTGGTGTCACAGCTGGGCAGGGAGTACTACTGGCATCAAGTGGGTAGAGACCAGGGACGCTGTTTAACATCTCGTAATGCACAGGACAGTCCCAAATGTCACCAGTGCCATAGTCAAGAAGCACTGACTGAGGCACTCGTCAGCAGGGCAGGTGTAGAGGGGGTAGTGGGAGTGGACACCCCTGGCAGACAGGCGGCAGGCGTCAGCCCGCCCGGGAGTAGGGACGGCCGCTGACCCACTCTCCTCTCCTGCCGCACCAGGTGAGCTGCTCCCCGGCGTCTGCCCAGCTGCTCTCTCTGCTGCAGGGCCTCCTGCACCTGGAGCCCACCCGCCGCTCCAGCCAGCTGCTCTGGGAGGCCCTGGAGAGCCTGGTAAACCGGGCCGTGCTCCTGGCCAGTGACGGTGAGGGGGCGGGCGGGCAGGGGAGCGGGGTACAGCGTGGGGGCAGACCCTGGGGTTCTGGACTGTGGGGGAGGGGCCCGTCCTTGGCCCCTAACCCATCCTCTGCCTGAGGGAGGTGGACACCCTTTCTGCCTGACCCTCCAGCCCCTGGTCCCTTCCTCCGCCATCTCCTTTTCTGCCCCTCTCCCTTGATCCCAGACTCCACCGCAGCCCAGGAATGCACCCTGGAGGAGGTGATCGAGCGGCTCCTGTCCGTCAAGGGGCGGCCCCGACCAAGCCCCATGGACAAGGCCCACAAGAGCATCCAGGTCAACCTAGGCCAGAGTCAGACAGGCAGCTCCCCGCAAAACACAACTGCCCCCGAGGCCATCGAGGAAGGCCAGCAGCCGGCGGTGGCCCATGCCAGCGAACACATGGCCAGCATCCAGAGCATGACACAGCCAAGAGTCCTGGAGCAGCAGGCACCCAGCCCACCCCCACCTCCACCGCCCCTCCCCGGCTCCACCACTGGGGCCCCACGCCACACCTGCGAGCACGGGACTCACATCCAGAGCATGACAGAGCCAATATTCCAGGAGCTGCGGGCACCCAGCTCACACCTTCCTGCATCAGCCCTGCCAGGTCTGGCGGCCGTGTCTCCCCCAGAAATCCCTCCACCTTCACCACTCCAGAGCATGGGATGCCCACCGCCACCCCCGCTGCCTGGAATGGGCTGGGGACCCCCTCCACCTCCACCACTGCCCAGTACCTTTGGCCTGCCTGCAGCGAGCGGCTTGGAGGAGATCATTGAAACCCAGGTGGACCACGGCCTGGGCTCAGCCTGGGTTCCCAGCCACCGGCGGGTGCATCCGCCCACACTGCGTATGAGGAAGCTAAACTGGCAGAAGCTGCCATCCAACGTGACTCGAGGTGAGGACCCCCAATCTTGAGAAAGTAGCATCCCTCTGGGGGTGGGGGCAGGGCCATGCTGGGGAGAATGGCCAGTGGTACCTACAGCGCGCACGTGCGTGTGTGTGTGTTTTGCCACATGTGCCACACCGTGGGGGCTGGGGTGCTGATGTTCAGAGCAGGCCAAGGCCAGGCAGAGGCCAGGTCATCTGCCAGCATGGACACATGCAGGCACACGTCTTGGCAGCAGCTTGAGGGCTTCCTTTGCCATGTGCTTATTCAGTGCCTGCTGTATGCGCTACCTGGGCTGGGCCCTAGGCAGAGCATCTTTGACAGCCCTCAGGAGGCCCAGGCCCACCTGCCTCTGAACCCCCAGGCCCAGGGGGGAGTGAGAGACTGACTGGCAGTGACCCTCCCCGCCCCTCCCCCACAGAGCGCAACTCCATGTGGGCATCTCTGAGCAGCCCCAACATCATGGTGGTGGAGCCTGACTTCTCCAGCCTCGAGCAGCTTTTCTCCTTACCTGAAGCCAAGCCTAAGTAACGATCAGCAGCTGCCCCGGCTA